ACACAGAAGACAGATAATAAAAAAGTGCATAAATAAAATTGTAGATTGGTGTCTATGCTACTGCTGCCCACCGCTTCGAGCATACATCATTTGTACATCGTCAGGCAGTCTATGTCTTAAATGATCTGTCAGTCAGTCTCCGTACTCGATAACTTTTAGCAGAGTTTTTAACAAGACAACTGACACATATTTGCAACATTATTGGATATGTTAAAGCTATAAACAGGGGAGATAAAAGATTTATTCAAATTAAGAATGATGTGAAGGACATAATTTATGTTTAGTCTTCATTTATCCCTGCCAAAATCTATCAGGCAGCACAACTCGTGCTGTTTAGCGCATTTTCTTGCATTAAATTAAAAAATTCCATTGATTAATTGCTGACATGATAAATACGCTGCCTCTAAATGTGACACAAGTTGCGCGCCTCAAACTGCAGAGAAGAATAAAATTAAAAATTATAAAAACTACTCGTATGCGACAACAGTAATACCCACAATGGTAAGAACCACACAATGACAACGACAGGCCACAGGCACCACCACAACAATTTGTAATTAACACGCGTGGGGGCCACAGACACAGACTGAGACTGAGACGAGTCGAGCCAAAGGCTTGAACAATTTGAGATTCGAACTCGAATTGAAATTCAGTTTTGCCACATGGTCTAGTTGCCATATAAGGCACAGATCGATCCACTGGCAGCCCATACGAATTATGCACTCACACACAAAACTGTAAGGCCTTTTTACAATAATAGAAAATACTTTAAGTTACGTTAAAAACATTTTAATTCTAGTTTTATGTAATTATAGTTAATTTGGAAACACAATTAATGAACTTTGTTGCTGTTGCTATGAAACGCACTGTAGCTTGTATTTGTCGCATCCCCACAGAAACTTGAACTTGTCCAAAATCGTTTGACTGACTGATTTATATGAATTTTATTTATAGAATTTCTTTAGAATCGAACAGAGCAGAACAGAACCAAACACCGATTTACATGGCATGTAAATTGGCTGTGTCCGTGTTGGGCATTTGCCATTTATTTAATTATTTATTTATAATTAAAATGTTTGAATTCAGACATCTACTCGTATGTTGTCTTGGCCATTTCGGTTGGTCAGCAGGAAGCCAATTTGCCTGCCTCTATAAGGCCTAAACTATTTGACTTTGCTCGATGGTAGCAGCATCTCTGCACGTCTCTTGAGATTTGTATCGTTCTTTTCAGCTTTGGTAGGAAATCCATAGGAATGTCATACAGCCACAATTTCAATTAATTAAGTGGTCGAAAGATAGACTCACAGGACCGGAAGGAAGCTCTTCGCTTGGAATTTGTGGTGTTGGCGAACAACTTTTAGTTTCACTTAGGTGGGGGAACCAGAAAGCAATCTTTTAAATACAGAAATAATATATGAGGACCCTTGTTTAACAAACTCTACATTTTTTGTACCATTTAGTCTCTATTTTTTAAAGAATCGTCAGTGGCACTCTTGTCTGTCACTCAATCAGACACTGCGCTTGCCTGCTCTGCTTGTCTAGCCTGTTTTGGGTGCACCATTTAATAGTTTTGGGCTGCAACATGTAATAGTAGCTCTTTAAAAGGTTGAAAGCCCAAGCGGGTCTCAAATTGGGTCAGCAAAGTGTTATGTGTGCAACAAAGTATTTGCTTATAAAGCATGTGAGCTGCAACAGCTTTGGCGCCGGCCTGCTGGCTGGCTGTGGCATGCCACACAGCCATGCATCAGGTCTGGAGATGCACATTGATTAGCTTGGTTCAGAGTTTAAGGGGTTAAGCGTGAGTTAAACCAAACCACTTGACAGCCAATTTTTTGGCAAATAATCTTTTGCCACAATATCGCTCAATTTGCGAACATGAAAATATTTGTAGGTTCTCGATGTTTTACACCTCTACTGCTCCACTTTTAGGACCCATATAGCGTATTATATAACAATGGGTCTGCATTGTATCCCCAGCTACAAAAGCTCGGTTAAAGCTAGAGCGTGGCCAAAGCGAATGGTTTCTTTGCGATGTCTAATTAAATATTCAAAACATTGTCCCACCATAAATGTCTCATAAATACACGATCTTCTTTTATTTGCTTTGACAAAAAGGGCACGTACCTTGAGCAAATGTTGTCCATGCAGACATAAATCAATCATAAACTCGAATTTGACATGAAACACTTGTGCCAAATGGTGCAAACAGCTCAATACTGGAAACACCCCGTCGTGTATTTGTAGATGTGAATCCCAGAGACATCCCCATAATTGTTTCATATGCATTTAATTTATTTCATACAAACTTTTGATTGCGAACAAAGGCTAATATTTCAATTAATTAATCTTTGGCTGGACCATCTTTGTCGAGAGGCGTCACCGGAAGCCACGAGCTTCAGCAGTTGAACCTTTGCTCATTACCAGGGCGTGTCTCTATAACCGACATCAAATGAGAAGAAAATAAATATGTTTGCTTTTCGTTTTGCTTTGCGGCTAATTAAACATTTTTCTGTGTGTTTCTATACCCATTAAAGAGGGTATTGTGGGATTGTACTACATTTGGCAACGAATTAGATTAGATGAATTATTCCATAAAATATAATTTGGTCAACTTGTGCATCAAGATATTCTACGCCTTCTATATTATTTTTATTATACTCTCTCTTGAGTAGTTTCCCATTGCTTTTCAAGGGTATTTGAAGCTTCGATCTGCATCTTCTCACTCATTATTTGTAGTCTTTTTGTGTGTGTCCAACAATTAGTCGAGCATGCACCCTCTGGTAAAATTCAGGAAGATTGTCAAAACACGTACAACAATTTGTTGAGGAAGCGCACCAAAGCAAACATACGAAAATATTTGTTTTTTGGTCTTTTCGGTTATATTTAAATATTTTTGTGATGTTTTTTTGGCACGTGGACCAAGTGATGGTGAGTGATAGATATATGTAGTCACGCCCATTTGGTGCCCATTAGTTGATGCATTAACGTGTGACGTTTCCTCATTTATTTTGGGTACTTTGCCCGCTTGAAATGTTATTGACTTTTCAACTTTTTGGCTAAAAAATGGTCCTTTGTTTTGAAGTAATTTAAAAATATAATTTTAAAATAGTAAAATGGGAAATTTAAACGAATAGAAACCTAAGAGCTAGTTATGTTTCATTCAATGTTCGGAACTTCCTGAAGTGAATTAAATGAAGTTGCTTTTTATTAAGTAAAACTCCTAAAACCACCAATGAGAATGATCATCAAACAGAATTAGGGCAATTAATTCAATGCAATTTGTTGGGCTGCCACTAGCCACAAGCAGCAACAATTTGTGGCATAACTTTCAAATGCGATTTGTTCCAAAATTTGTATACAGCCACAGACAGAGAAAGAGAGAGATATCGAGAGAGGGAGAGGGGAACGTCATGACAACATTTGGACATAGTCCCAATGCCTGCAACGAATCCCAAAAAAAAGGCTCCCAAATCGAAATCCAAATCCAATTTCAATTGCATTGCGAATGCGGCAGCCGAAGCCACGTTTTTGAACCCGCAGACCCCGAAAGGGTCAAGTGGCGCGTGTAGCGAAAGCCAGGGCTAAGCCTCAGGGCAGTGAACCAAACCGAAGTCTTGGCCAAGTTTCTGTTTCAGCTTATAGCTGAGCTAAGTTGAGCTGCCACCCACTGAAGGGCTTTTAGCCTTAGCCAGTCGTAGTAGTCGTCGTCGGAGGCTGATACTTCGAGCTGCTGGAGAACTGATCTGAGGCGTTCGATCTTCATGCCCGAGTGCGTGGAGAGACCTTACTTGTGCCTGCCTGAACTTGACATGCATATTGTCTCCCTCTCCCTCTCTCTCTCTCTCTTGCCACATGTGGTGCCTTGTGCTGTGTGCGTGTTTGCCGCGAGTGTTGGTTGGAGGTAGGGTTGTCAGCCCCAGCCCCAGAACCCCAGCCCCAACCCCAGCCTCCCCAGTAATCAGTCTAGACTTCATTGGGCTCGTCCCACGTTCAGCATTGAGCGAATATTATTTTGTTTTTTTTGTGTGTTGACTGGTTGTTCTAATTAATGGCTTAATTTGTTCACAGCTGAGAGGCACACCACACACACATGGCCGTAGGTCATAAATGTTTTTATTAGTCAAAGCCAAAGTCACAGAGTGTTGCGCTCGAAATTATATTTAATAATGCCAAAAATTAAGTACAAGACTTATAACGTTTGTTTCAATGGCAATCACGTTGGGACGTTAACTGGCTTTACGTTACGCTCTTTTGTGGCGCGTTAGCTGCGCTTGCGTTACGCTACAAATGCCGGTTTTTTTGGAGCCAACAAAACGCCGGCCAAAAGAGAGCGGCGCTCCGAAAGAGAGCGATCTCAATAGGGTTGTCAAGATGTCTCAATAAATGCACAGATAGCTGAAAGAGTAAGCAGCTTGGAGACAATTTACTGAACTTAAGTTTTGCATTTTTTGTTTTAAATATATTTTAAGGTGCAGTTAAATTGCATATAAAAGACATGGGAATGACTTCATTTATAAGCATTTACAGGCATAGAAATGTCCACAATTGTTATTAAAACTTTTATTGTGCAGCTCCTTTTAAAGCGAGAGACAATAAATCAACATTTATTACAATGCCTTAAAACATTGTATGTGGGTATGGTTATCATTGTACTTGGCTATAATAATAAATTCATTTATCTGAAACAAAGAGCGAACGGAACCCCCAGCTAGATTCTCTTTTAACTTTAAGCTCTTAAGGCATAACTTTGTGGCTCTCGCACACTCTTTCTCTCTCTCTCTCTCTCTCTGTGTCATTTGCTTGCTGGCTCTCTAGCGCTGACATCATCCCAGACACAGACTCAAAGCCGGAGCCAAAGCCAGACTCAGACTCAGACACAGACACAGACCAAGCTAAAGGTAGAGCCAGGTGTCAGACGGCGGCTTATTTAATGCACGGCCACAGCTCGAAACTCTTTTAGTATAGCGTTGGCGTGCGAGACAAACGGTTCGGTTCTCCCAAGCAAAAAGTAAACTACCACACACCAAAACGAGTTCGTCTAAAAGAATATATTTGTACATACTGTGTATATATGTACAGATGTGTCTGTGTTTATACGCGAGTAGATACAATATTAAAACACATTAAAAAACAAAAGCATAAAAAGGGGAACACAACACAAAAACAAGAGTAAACATTAAACAATTGTAGATTGTTGTGACTGATGTCTGAGAGCCCCCCGGACCAACCGACGCGAATTCAAGTGAAGCCAAGCGTTGAGTGTGAAATGCAAAACGGAGGCAACTCAAGACCCCTCCAGGCAGCCAGGCAGCCAGGCAGCTAGGCAGGCAGGCAGGCACGGCGGCACTCATTTTAGTCGGTCTCAGAGACTAAGCAGCAAAAGTTCCGAATTAGATCCAAAACAATTGCAAAGAAAGTGAAAGATCAGAGACAAGACACCGAGAGACACTGAAAAAGAAAATAAAATAAAAGGCCCAAACCCAAGAAAAGGGAAAGGTTACAATACTCAGTCTTAGACTCGTGTTGCATGCTCTCTCAAGTGCAACGTAACGCAGAGGCTTTCAGGCAACAGCTGTTGGCTGGCCTGCTACATCGCCCACTTGCCCACACAGCACAGTACAGGGAAAAAAGTCATTGAAATGTATAATAAAATATTTTCAATAATTTTTTTCCATTGCTTAGCTGACTACGCGTTTTTTCTTTTTTGAGATCGAAGCCAAATTAAACAACAACAAAACTCCCCTGTACCACGCGTTTTGTCGAATATTGCCATTGATTCATTGAGCCCCTTGTCTGTGTCGCTGAATGCGTGTGTGAGTGCTGGTGAATACATTCAAAAAAGCAGCCAAGCGACATTGATGTTGCCTTCTGTTGCTGCTGCTGCTGCTGCTGCTGCCGTACGCTTTTTGCATCGGACCAGAATATAATGAAATAAAGTTAAATAAAATATAAGCTGAAACGCCTTCAGTGGACGGACACTGGGACCCATGCTAAAAAGAGATATCAACACGCTCCACTAAAGCGCGGACAGGTACGGTGCAATTCGTCTTTTTTTGATTTATTTAAGCACACATTTTGTTTGTCAGCATCGAGCAATAAATTATTGTCTATTACTTTACGTATAGCCATTGTAACTGGCATGGAAATTGTCGCTGATTGGAGATTGGATTTTTTCTAGGGAAGAAATCAACACGAAAAATTGGTTTATAATATCAGAAAAAAAAACTGAAATTAAAACTAAAACTAAAGTTAATTTAACGAGACTCGAGATGCAATAAATTTGGCATCAAATTATGGCTGAGTGTGCCGCTAATTAGCTGTTCGAGGTCTCAGATCAGTAGCTAACAAATATCAAACATTTTAACAGAAGTTTCTGGTTAAAGTAAACGTAAGCAATCGTTTTAGTTATTACAAATAGGGATTACAGAGGTCATTGACTACCGCAGATTATGTATATCTTGAAAATGATCTGTATAATCTGTAGAATTGGCCCGCACAACAGAGAAAGAATTACATTCTCTTTTATCTGGCTGAAACCTTTTCCCATCATTCTCATAATTGTGATTCGCAAAAACCCCATTTCTCTTTGCTCCATTTTATAGTCAATAACAATGGAAAAGAATATTTTCTTTGTCTGACTCCTCAAGCTGTTTCTCTCAGTTAATTATTTGGATCTTCATATTATTCAGAGTGATATGAACTATTCCATCACAGCGCTCATTAGGGCCTATATTTCTTTGGTTAAACAAAAACCCAACACGATTCCATGAATCATTAATAAAAGGTTCAATGATTCTAGTGCCAGATCACATCGCAGATTGCCCATTAGTCATCAGAATGTCCAGACACCAGACCACAGATCACAAACCAGGTCCAGTCTTACACTCCATATGCGGATAGTTGTCTCCATATTTTTATTTGTTACTTCCTTTTAGAACTGAATTCCAATAAAATTTCCCCGGAGGAAGTATCTAGGCTCCACTCTGATTTATGTCTATATCGAATTATTTGATTGCGAGGCCCACAAATGTCGCATTAGAGGCTCAGTAGCATGCATTAGCGAAAATTACCATTTGGAGCTGAAAAGGTGTTGGCCCCAATTGTCACCTCCGAAAGATATTGAAACGAACACAAACTGGGCGCGGAACTCAAATCTTATGGCATATTGCATTACCACGTCTCGTCAAACAAAAAAACTCAGCGATAATACTTGATTTCTTTACATATATATTGGTTATACTTATATATACTCGTACATATATATTTATGGGCACGCGCCTGCCTTTTTGTCAGCCTCTATCGGTGTGCAGCTGAATGTCAGAGAGATAGAACTTGTGGCACGGCACGGCATGGCATGGCATGGCATGGCTGCAACCGTAGGTTGACATTAAACCCATTTCAACACCACAGCGAGATACTTTTTAATTACGCTGATGGTTGGTTTCCCCTCTGCGTAAACACCAGGAATATGCTGGAGCTTTTTTATGCCTCAAGGATTATCGAAAAGATAAAATACATAAAAGAAATTCCATTCATTTTTGAAATATTCACTCTCTCATTTTGTATGCCAAAATCGCATCAGACACTTCATTTTGCACACCCTTTTTATCCCCAAAAAATGTTTTAATGTTGACCAAAATTATATTTTTGCTGGAATTTTGTTTTGTATTCTCACACGATTTTTTTATAATGATATTTTTGCACTTTATTTTGTGCACAATTGAAATTTATTTCTATTATTGAGTCAAAATATTTGTGTGTTGTCTGGACAGGGAGAACGAATCCATACCATGCCGAAAACGTTTCAAAGTCATAATTTTTAGCTTTGCCTTTTATGGCTGATGGTAAAATAAAACAAAAACTGAAAAAGCATAATTCTTTATAATTCATTTTGCTAGGCAGCCAAGCCGAAGCTCTTCCAATGAACTCTGGCCAGGCCATTTGCAATTTGTTTGCATTTCGAAACGCAAAAACAAAATATTTATCATTTGGCATTAAGTTTTTGGGGACTGAACAGGATGTCGGACTGTGATTAATAGAATAAGTGGTTGTCGGGTAGCAATTTCTAGGCTGGGCCAAGGCTACGATGAGCTCAACCCAAAGGCTTCTCTTCTCCAGCGAATTTTAGCCGAAGGTTAACTGATTGGCAGACATCCCACTGGTATTCGGTATTTAAATAATATTCAAGTGTTATCTGGTTTCGGTCCTTTCATTTTTCATCATTCAGCAGGCCTAATTAAACCATAAACACCTCAGAACATGCTACCATACTTAACAAAACACCCCACACAGTGTGGTGCCCGTGTGGTGCTGTTGATGGCTGTGACCCACCCATCATCAGCACAACTGCCAAACGACCCACACGAGCCGTACCGAGCCAAGCAGCCTTTTTCTTGTTTTATTTTTAATTTTTTTGTTTGTGCCAAGACAATGCCAAAATCAAAGAGCAGCCAAAAAGTGCAGCAAACAAACACCTCCACAAAAAACAGAAACCACACAGATACTAAAATGGAGTCGGAGTCGGAGTCGGATACGGAGACGGTGTCGGATGGTGGATGGTGGGCCCAACCTATAGACATGTTTAATCAATTTAAATTACCTTCAATTAGGCTCTTTGTTCGGTCGCATTGCGAAAAGTCTTTGACTCGGAGAGCAGAGCTGCATGCAGATATGCAAATGAGGAAAAATTCCACTAATTTGTTCAAGAGATTCCTCAACACTAAAATGAATGCATCTGCATATCAGCCACTTAAAGAGTTGGCCAATGCTGGCAATTAAACATTCAATGGCTTCATTCGATATGCACAATGGCCAAAGACTGCAGGGAGTAACTGTGCTGTGCTGTGACTGTAACTTTGACTGTGACTGTGGTGGGTGTTGGCGTTGTTTTGGGTTTATACAAAATGTAAATTTCATTTTGAGTCATAAAATAATTTGTGAGAGAATCTAGTTTATCTGTGGGGCAGGGCGCCACGCCACGGATATGTCAATACAATTTATTGAAAGCTTTTGAGTGATATTTTGATGGCTCTTTAATCAGATCATAAAATAATACAATCCGACAAATCTTTACATTTGCCGATTACATTTTATTCCGTCATCGAGGGGCGTATTAAAATGTAATAAATTGCGTTTATTACTTGTAGACGCTTGATGCGATGAATCATCGAATAGATTATACGCTGTGTCTGATCAAAAGTTCATTGAATGCCAGATTAAAGTTGTATTTTCTCAGCTTGACTAAAGCCCCATCAGAGTTAGAGGTTCTTCATCTTAAAATCCTCTTAAACAAAGCCATAAAACATGTTGGTTTCTCTTGCAAATCAAATTCGAATGACTTAGCACACAAACTTGATCGAGAAACTGCAGAAACATTGCCATTGCCATTGCCATTGAATGCATATAATTAATCTCTTTATCCTGGCAAAAAACGGTGAAAGTGTTTGCATATCAAAATGTCGGCACTCGTCAGCTGTCAGCCGAAGAGTGTGCCCCCATCCCAGTGTTTCAATTTAAATGAGCTATCAAATCCAGGCACCCCAAACAACCACTGTGTCTGTGTCATTGAACCAACAAATCAAAGCCGCTTACCGAAAGTCACACAAAAACTTATAGTTTACGGTCGTCCGACCACGATCGCGCGGTGCTCAGGATTGATGACAACTCTGGCAATGCCAAATGACAATTATCAACGCGACGCGGCGGCGTGTCATAAAAAAAAGAGCAAATATAAAATGCCACACAAACTTCAACTAAAAACCAGAAACCCAAAGCCAAATGACAGCAAACAAAAAGCACAAAATGTGTTTATTGACGTCATTCCATGAAGCCAACCAACAGGCAACAAAATAAAAAAATCTGTTAATGTGGAGAAAATCCAGGCATAGAGGACCTGAGGGAAAGACAACCGCCTGCCAAAGTCCAACTGGCAACTGGCAACTGCCATCCGCCATCCGCTGCCACCCGCTGGGCCGTAACCAAAGCAAAGGCCTATGCCAAAAAGTTACTTGCGAATTGTAATAATTGCTAACAATTACAATGGCAATAAAGAGAGCTGCAAAAAATTAAAGCAACAGATCATACACCATGTCGATACCCTGTGAAGAATTTTGCCATAGAGAAAAGAAAGGTAGAAAAAATGGAATCTAAAAATAAATAATAATAAAAAACTATAAATTACAGTGAGAACTATTCGATGCATCTACGCAAATTCCTTTGCTTGTTACTTGTTCTGTTCCATTACTACTCCATTTACCCCTCGTATACCCTATAAAAATCACTCATTGCATGCCATTTCTCGGACATCAAACTCTGGCCATTGTCTTGTCTGAGATTTTGCTTTGGTTTTGGGGAACAGACTGATCAGGGGCTAACTTCTGCTGCTGCTGCCTATCATATGTACGAGTTTACCGCGAACGAATGGGTGCATGGAAGCCGTATGAAATCTCATTAGCAGCTAAGGGTTCAGTTCAGTTCAGTCCTGACTCCTGTCGCCTGTCCTCTGTCTCTGTTTTTGCAGCTTGCATAAATTATGTTCACGAAATTCGGCTGTTCTGCGGCAAAGGGGAAGTCACCTTTGGCTCTCGTCTTTCGCTCTTTTTTTTGTATTTTTTTGGGGCCTGGGCTTAAGTATGCTGCTGCCAATTACGAGCATGAAGGTCTTTGACTGCGCAATTTCAGACCGCCCCGCCAACTACAAAAAAAAAGCCTAGAAAATTTGTAACATTTTCTGTTGTTGTTGTTGTTGTTGTTGAGGTCTTGGTTTTAGTTGGTATTCGGTATTCCTCTTTATGACTCGTTTTTCATGGTTTTAATTTGTTTCTTCGCTGCTTATCCCATGGGGGGAGGCGAGCAATTATTTTATATATATTTTATTTCATATTTTTTCCACGCCAATATTTTGTGAATGTTTTTCACGCTCTTGAGTTGATTGGCTTGCAAAATGTTTTGTGCAATGGCAATGAAAATTGTTGTACAATGTGAAACAGATACTTATAAACGGGATTTTATTTGTCTCTCAAATGCAAATCA